TAAAACAAATGTTTTTGAATATATAAGGAGCACAATGTTTTGTCCCAAGAACAACTTGGCTTTGACTGGAACAGAGAGGAGAGTGGCCATGACAGCAATGGCAGTGCCACCCTGCCTCTGCTGCCTGGGAACACCCTCCCTGCTCGCTCAATGGTGAGCAGAGCTAGGTCTTTCTGCCCCTGTTGGGTGATCTCACACTCTAAATCTAATCCATGATTTTAAATCAAAGGTATTCCCCAAGCAAAAAAGCACACCTGAGACTAAAGCCAAGTAGCCCTTTGTGGCTTTAATCAAAGTCTTCGAAGAGAAAGACATCCTCCGAAGATCTGCACCACTCCTTCAGTGTAGTCCAGCCACATTCTCTGGGATCTCAGCTTCTACCATCTTCTGACCATCTGTGCACACAAGCCTGACAAATTGTGTGTGCTATGGATGGAAGATGGTAAGAGACAGAAATCTAAAGCTATTCATGGGGCTAGAATTGAGACTCATACAAATAATTAAAAACAAATAATGCATACTACTAAGTGTTTTTCACCTGAGCCAAAGGAATCCATTGAAGAATTTCTTTACCTTTCAAAACCATGGTAAAATTTACATCTCCATGGGCTTGATACCCAACTGGAAGGCTGGAAATCAAATCTGGCCCAACAGTGATAGTGCTAAATCCTAACCACTAGCTTCAGGATGGAGTATCTCCCCCCGACCCCACAAATCCCATAAGGAATACAAAGCAGGCATCCCCTTACAAAGGATTTTAATTTTGTTTTGAATATGATTTATGCTTTCCTTTTAAAATATTTCCAAGGTAGTTTATAAATCTATATTCCTTTTATATCTTTTCATAGGTACCAATAATTGTTTAAGAAGAGAGCTCTTCAAAAATTTTATTTTAAAAAATATAGCTGATTTATTTTAATAGCAATTCCAATTAATATAAGAACTAATTTACATACTTTCCCCTGTGTTAATCCAAAATCAGGGGGAAAACAAAGATGAAGAGATGCTCTTACCACCATCATTCAACTGAGTGCTATAAGCATTGATCTGGGGAACTGAAACAGCTGCCCCACCAGGTTCATCTGCTCATTGCCCAAGAGGAAGCCAATGTCTAGACAGCAGAGTCTATAGCAGAGAAAGAGTTTATTCTGCATAGTGTTAAGTGGGGAGATGGGAGAAATTTCTCAAACCTAACTCTCTGAGATTTGGAGAGATAGGGCTTTTAAGGTCAGATCAGTGAGCAGAGGGTTAAGCAATCAGGGTCTGCTAATTGGCTGGTTCCAGGACAGAACCATCAGTCCTTTGTTGTGAGGGCTGCCTGGCAAGTCAGTTACTGGAATACAGGATCTTGGATGGAGGAGGGTCCAAGACCAGATGAGTCAGTTCCTTGTACTCAGTGGGTCTGTTACTGGAATTCAGGACCTGGAAGATATCTCCCAAATTACTCCAGGGCAAAGAAGCAATCAGAAGGAAGTGTGAATATTATCCAGAAAATGAGGGGACAATGGTGGATTGTTATCATTATTTTAGCGAAGCCTGCTTCTTTGCACAGTTCTGAGGGCCTTGATCCTACTTTGTATTTTTCTTTAGTAGTCATGCTTTATGCTTACTTCTCTCGCCACCTTCTAAGACAGCGCCCCACCTGTCTATTGATAGCTCTTCGATATCTCTCTCATTCTTCACCCTTCACTCAAGATCCTGGGTAGAGATTTGGTGATTTTAGTCACAATCTCTTCAGTGACTGATGAATAATTCAATTTGGCATCAGAGACCAATTCCTTCAGCAATACATGGGTACTCTTGTACACATACACACTATTCATTTCTCTTGTACGTCATTCTAAGTGATTGTTTTATTCTCTTTGTAAAAAATTATTTTCCTTCTACACATCTAAGTTCTTAGTTGTTGATCCTTGTGACACATTAACAAGAGAAAAACAAAGAGAAATTTATTAACATGTATATCACATATGTATGTAGGCGACACCCAGGAAAATGAGTAAATCTCAAAGACGTGGCAGAGTACTCCAGTTTACATAGCTTCTACAAATAAAACAACAAAAAAGAGGAATGTGAAGAAGGCCAGTTAAGAGAAGGGAACCAGGAAAGAGGTAAACCAGGGTAAGGTTTGTCATGCAGCCTTTTATCAGTCCCTTCTCCATTCTACTGTAATTAGTCACATTCTTTTCCAGAGGGAGATACCTTGCCAATGAATTTCCTTTACATGTAAATGCACTTTACAAAAGGTTAACTTCTATTCTGTTTTCAGAGCTTCTCTTGTGTCTTCATAATCATTTGAAAATAATCCTTATAACAGAGACACATATGTGGGGGGTGGCAGACCATACTCCGGTCTCCAATATATTTAATCTCAAAGACATTTTGAACATTGAAGCTGGCAATGGAACAGCAAAATCCGGTCTTCCCTTGTCATCAGTCAGGTTGATTGTGTTTAATTAAGTTTTGCCTAAAGCTGTTTCTATACATATTTTAATTTGGCCTAAAGGTTTCTCCATACACATTGAACTGTAACCTCACTTGATGTGTGAACACGTTATAGTCTACTCTTGTATAGCAAATAACAGAGTCTCAACCAACTGTTCAGTGCAGTTTCAAATAAGGCAAATGCCCAGACATAACTGGTCCAGCTGTTTCCATACCTCACTTCATTTTCTGTATATCACTTTCTGCCGTCCATGTTATCTGACAATGTGGCAGCCTCAGAGCTGCTATGAACCCATCCTGGTTTGGCAGAGTGTCTGACTCACTAATCATTCTTTGATCTGCTAAAGTCTATTAATTTTTATTTGTCTAAAGCTTTTCTTTTTGGAAGCGGTGTTAGAGGAGGGATTCAAGGCACCAGTTTGAGTGACCCTCAGGGGAAGTGAGTGACCCAGATGGTACCTATCTGGCTGTCATGCAAGAACTGCAGATCCAGGCTAAGTTCTCCATTAGCTTCTGAAATTCTACAGATTTGTGTTTTGAGCTGAGTTTATTTGAGTACATTTTTGATCTGGTCTGGGTTTGGAAGTCATGACAAAAACTGGACTGGGTTTAGAATTGTGTTAGATTCAATAGGGTAGAATATAATAAAATCTTAATGCTCTTCCACCAGCAGTTGATTGGCCCCCTTCCTGGCCAATGGGATCCCTTAAAACTAAGTTGCTAGCCATGAGAAAGGAGATCAGACATGGCTTCATCATGCCCTCCCTTGTTAGAGATGTCCCCTGTGACTCATTAACAAGGCCAAGACTATGCAAGATCTACACGCAGGTCCATAATATACACAACAAACCACTCGGGTCTGGGCATATGTCCTGTAGTTTGTCTCTGATTAACAGGTCCTTATCATTCCTTTTCACTGACTCCTCATCAATTAGACAAAGACTAACTCTTTCAGCCAATTGTGAACTAAAGAACTTTAAACTCACTCATATAACTTGTAAGCCCCACTTTGATGTCCCATCTTTCTGGACCAAATCAATGTATGCTTTCCATTTATGACTTTACTCACAACCCCTTTCTCCCTGAAATGTATAAAAGCAAACTAATCCCACCACAAGTCCACTTGGCCAAGGCTTCTTGGGTGTGACTCCAGGTCATGGTCCTCAAATTTGGCAGAGAATAAACCTCTTTAAAATTATTTTGCAGCATATGGTTCTTTTCTGTTGATAATAGTTAGCTTGATTGGATCCACTTACAGGCCTCAAATGTCTAAAATGTCTAACTGGGTCACATAGAAATTGGCAATAAATGACAATTACTGAAGGGAGTGCAAACTTTGGCTTTAGGAAGTTTACAAGGTGTTCATTTTCTATTCTTTTTGTTTCTTCTTCTTGGGCACTTAGGTAGGGAAAAATTATTGGCTGAGTTGATCAAACAATTTTTGATCTGAGAGCCAAAGCCAAAATTCAACTTAAAAACAGGATTCTTACTTTCTGAAGAACTGAATGCTGGAGTTTCTAGCTGTGCACACTCTTATGTGTATAAATATTAGCCACCCCCAACAGCAAACACTTAACAAAAGTGGTGAAATCCTGATAAATATAACATCCAATTTAAAATTATAGTCAAATGTTCCAAACAAATAATGCTGACTTTGAAGAAGTGCATTGAGAAATGAGGGTCCAAAGTCAGGCTCACCTAGGGATGCCTATTGTTATACAGAAGCTTCTCAAAAGATTTCAATATTTTTATTTCCTCTTTTAAATGACTCTTCACAAAAGGCACATAAAAAGCTTACACAACTAATTGATAAGAAAATTGAATCTGCTAACCTTTTGGCTTAGTTACCATTCTACTGCAAAGGTTAAAAGAAAGTTGGATGAGATGTTTATAAAAGGTAGGCCCTCTGGTAAAGGTTTCTTTTTCAGAGTAATCCATGCTGAGTAGGGACACAGAGGATGGTTTCTTTGCTCTATTTATAGGGCTCTGCCTTGAGCTCCATGGTCCGGTTAGAAAATGGAGACAAAATTGGAAGGTACCTATCTGACTGAATTGGTCTTCTGATAACATCCTCTGATGAATTTCTATGATTTTATGTTACCTTGTCATTGTCATCTTTCTTAAAACTTCCTTTGTGTCTCCTCTGACACAGCCAGATTCCTTTTTGAAAAAGCTTACATTATTGCTCTGTGCTTTGAGATGTAAATTTGTAATCCTATTTTCTCCATAAGGGCATTGGCCATTGAGACAGATAAACTTTAACGTATTCCATCTATAGGGGCACAGGTTAATCCAACTGACCTTTTAACAGAGGGAATTTTATCTGTCTCATGGCTAAAATTTTTAAAACAAAGCTATAAAATCTTAATTGATCTTTGTATTTTTATGTATACATGTGTATATATCTGTGTTTATATATTACCTACACGGTTCCAAATTGACTTATAAATAAATGAACACTCATTAATTAACTAACTAAGTAGCCCAAAGCTTTTCAAGTTTATGTGACTTTAGTAACTTTCAGTGAAGAAAAGTAGTTTTAAAATTTTTGTTAAGTGCTTTCTTTGGCAACACACATAATGAAATTGGAATGATACAGAGAAGATTATCATGACCCCTCCCCATGGATAACATTTAAATTTTTGAGGCATTCCATATTTTTTATCTAAATTGAAAGGCTTCTGCACAGCAAAGAAAATCATCAACAGAGTAAATAGACAACCCACAGAATGGGAGAAAATATCCAGAATCAACAAAAAACTCATACAAATCAGCAAGAAAAGAACCTAGCAAACCCATCAAAAAGTGGGCAAAAGACATGAACAGAAGTTTTTCAAAAGAAGATAGAGAAATGGCCAAAAAATGTGGGAAATGCTCACTATCACTGATCATCAGGGAAATGAAAATGAATACCACAGTGAGATACTACCTTATCTCTGTCACAATGGCCATTTTAAGAAGTCAAGAAACAATAGATGTTGACCTGGATGCAGAAAGAACAACTATACACTGTTGGTGGCACTGCAAATTAGTGGAGATTGCTCAAAGAAATAAACATAAATCTACTATTTTACACAGCAATGCCATCAAAGTAATCCTACTACTGGGTAACTACCCAAAAGAAAGTAAGAGATTTTATCAAAAAGACACCTGCCCTTGAATGGTTATTCCAGTACAATTCAGAGCTGCAAAGGTGTAGAATCAACCTAAGTGCCCATCAGTTCATGAGTGGATAAAGAAAATGTGGCTTATGTATATACCATGGAGTATGACTCAGCCATAAAACAGAATGAAATAATGTCTTTTTAGCAACTTGAGTGGAACTGGAGGCCATTATCCTAAGTGAAGTATCTCAGGCATAGAAAACAAACACCACATATTCTCACTAACAAGTGAGAGCTACATATCTTTGTACACACAGGCACAAAGAGATGTAAAGGATGATGGAAACCAAGAAGGAAGGCAGGTAGACAGGTTAAAAACTTACCTATTGGGTACAATAAACACTATTCTGATAGTGGGCACACTAACAGCCCTGACTTAAACATTATACAAGGCATCAATGTAACAAAAATATTTGTATCCCCTTTATATTTTGAAATAAAAAAATTGTAGGTAAAATAAAATGGAAATATCTTAAGAATTTTAGATATTTTCTTAGGATCTACTAGTCAGACAAATTTATACTATATCTGCTAGATGTTTTAAGGTCATAAAACTATTGCTTCTGCAACATTTTGATACTTGCTTGATTTGTCTGTAAGCATATGGCTTTGGTTTTGAGCCTTTAAAATCTGGGGTATAAACAGGTGGTTGTGGTAAGGCCTGGGGGACATAGTACCTGGGCTACCATCTGCAAGGTAGAGCCAAGAGCAGTATGGCCCCATCCTTCCCAGCCTATGTCTACCTCCTGGCCATGCTGGAAGCTGTCAGAACCTTCCCACAATTTTTTTTCTTTTCTTTTTTTTTTTTTTTTTTTAGACAGAGTGCCCTGGCATCATAGCAACAGCAACCTCAAACTCCTGGGTTTAGGTGTGATTCTCCTACCTCAGCCTCCCAGGTAGCTAGGATTTGGGGTGCCAGCCAATTTTTCTGTTTTTAGCAGAAATGGGATTTTGCTCTTGTTCAGGCTCGTCTCAAACTCCTGAGCTCAAGCAATCCAACTGTCTCAGCCTCCTAGAGTGTTAGCCACTTCGTCATTTGAACAGGTCTGTTCTCTGTCCTGGGTGCTGAATTCTGCACCTGGTACATTACAATTGAAATTGCTTACTTCCTGTTTTTTGTTTTGTTTTGTTTTTATTTGTTTGTTTACTGGAAATTAGATTTAGTAAGGTTTAAAATTGTGTTTTTATGTGCGATTAAAACTTCTAGATACTAGAGAAACAATTCTGTATCCAGAGTGAATAAAGAAAGTAAGATATATTTTAGGCGAAGAAGGTTGTAAAAAAGACATGATGTGATTTTTGTGTAAGAAAAATTAATTTTGTCTAGTTTAGAAGTTATTTAAAAGCTGTTTCATAGTATTTAAAAATGTTATAGATAAAACTGAAAAGAAATAAAAAGTTGGGGAAAGGCTCGGCACTTGTAGCACAGTGGTTATGGCACCAGCCACATAGACTGAAGCTGGCAGGTTCAAACCCAGTCCGGGCCAGCTAAACAACAATGACAAGTGCAACAAAAGAAAATAGCTGGGCAATGTGAAGGGCGCCTATAGTCCCAGCTACTTGGGAGGCTGAGGTAAGAGAATTGCTTAAGCCCAAGAATTTTGAGTTTGATGTGAGCTGTGACACCACAGCACTCTACCAAGGGCTATAGCTTGAGACTGCTGTCTCAAAAAAAAGGAAAAGAAAAGAAAAAGCTGGGGAAAGAAAGTAGAGAGAAAAAGATTTTGTAAAAAAGTTATAAAAAAAAGGCTTGTCAGAATCTTATCTCATGTGGTCTAAAACTGAGATTGATAGACTTTTTTATAAGATTTTGTTAAAATTAGATTGAATATTAATAATACACTAATACAAAGATAAATTAGTTTTTAAACAAGATTTTCATTCAATATTAGTAATATTAACATTATAATAAAATATATCATATAATAATCAGAGATAATATTTTATTTACCTTTTGATTTAACTACAAAAAAACCAATAAATTTTATCATTTGCATTTTTAACTATGGCCATTTTAAGCCTATTATCCACAGTTAATCACCTTATTCTGATGCTGCTTCTAAAAGATCTTTGCAAGCAATTATAATCCTAAAATGTTGTGTCTTCAACAAGTTTCATGAAAAGGATGGAAAGGTCTCTGACAAGCACTCCTGAATACAAATATCTGATAACTTTAGGATCATTTGAGCTGGGCAAGAATTCCCAGAACTCTAATGAAGAGACTGATTGGTATATAAAACTGTTAATTTATATAGACAAAAATTAATAAAAATGTCAAGAAAATACTTTGACAAATTTTCGTGAAATTGTCAACTGAAATTGTTAAGATATGCGATTTGAATGAGGTCTGTTGTACAAGTCAAACGAACCCACGATAACCTATTTAGTAAACAATGCTGTATACTTGGATTAGAGAAACACAGTTGGTATTCAAGAGGGTATAAATTTAATCTTCAGCTTGGTCTCATGGAGAGCCTGGATAGCCAGCTTGCTCCTTCCCTAGTCTGTGAAGTGTCCATTCTTAAAACTGCTGCACTCCATGATCCATCATGGAGATAATAAAATGATCCAAATTATGAAAAACTACTGATGTATTGATTGCTCTAAATTGCTAAAGGGGTTTATGATCAATTTCTGGTTTGTCAAACCCATAATTCTGGAACTACAGTCAATGCTTCAGATTCTGTTTTTGTTACCTCATGGGTATTCCCAGTGTTCCCATTTGAACAGTGGGAACTCATTCTACTGCCATTTTCAGCACATATTTTCTAGTTTTTGAGACGCTTTACCATGCAGGAAGTCCAATGCTATAGTGTGGCTAAAAGGTTATCAGGAATTGAGTTTCTTTCATGGGCATTTCTAGAGAATTCTCCAGTGAAACAGGTACTTGGTTCACTGGATAAATTGTAAAATAATTAAATAAGGTATTATTGTTACAGTGAGAAACATTAAGTGGACCCCTTGTGAAACGGTCACTGGAAGGCCTATGCCTCATAATAAAACCTCACATATCTTAGGCTCCTAAGTCCTGATATGAATAAAGGCTACAGAGCTTAATGCATTTTACCAAAATGTATTTTCACCAGGTAAAGGATGCTTTTTACAATTCACCCACTGAGGACAGTCAAACCCTATGAGAGCCCCGATATTGCATTTTCTGAGAACAATATCAGAGAAAGCTTTTCTTGACACCCACACTGCAGCAAAGCTTCAGAACCACAAACTGTGGGGCTGTAGTGTCACAGTTTAGAAAGGCCCCTCCAGACTCTTGGAACTGCACACCCTTTGGAAACGTTAAGGTAAAACTAACAAGGACATTTTTCTCCACAAGCAGACAGCATTCTAAATGTGGATACCTTTCCTAAGATCTTGGATCAAGACTGCTTTTATATAAGAAAGTTCTCTCTCTCCTTTTTTTCCTTGCTTATTGGTCTCTGTGACCAATAGGACTGGAAAAAGGGCCTCATGTGCACCTGGAAGCACACTTTTATTTGTGGAGGATTTCACAGCCAACTGTGTACATTAGCAACCTTAAACTTTGATGTATGGCAGATAAAGGGCCAGAGTGGGCTAGAGATGTTAATGTCATCTTTGTTGCTGCATAATTAGTCATGAACAGGTCCACTCCTCTTAACCTGCCTCGTAGGCCAAAGAGAATGTTCACCCTTCTGGAGGGTCAACATTTATTAGATCCCTTTTTCCATGACTTGGAGAAATTATGAATGAGGCAATGATTAGAAATTTATCCTTCATTATAGGCTCTATGGACAATTAAACTACAAAAGCTATGGCTGTGCAACAGACTTCTTTAAATTCTCTTGCTAAAGCCATGCTAGATAATATTATAGAATTGCTCTATACTACCTACCAGCCAAAGAGGGAGGAATTTGTGTACTCACTGACACTTATTGTTGCACCTGGATGAATACACTGGATATTATAAAGGCTGGGTTGCAGAGCACTGAGCAATAGGCTTCTTGGTTAACATGGGTGGACAAGTAGCTTCCTCATCTGGCTCACTCTTTGATCTATTTGCTTTTGGTTGGTTTGGTTCATGGAAACTCTGTCTAAGGAATATGCTATAGTCTCTTGGTATACCCTTTGATAGTTCTATCACAAGTGTTAGAAGTTTTCATGAAGCCATCTGTAGAATATCACATGGTCTCTCTCTGACTAGAATGATAAACAACCTCAAAGAAATGCATGATTATTTGGACACTATAACTTATAAATGATGAGACTGGAACCCCAAAATAATGGTAACTGAGAGTACCAGTGAAGCCCTAAGTTTTTGTTACACTCTCACTTATGAAATAATTTAAAAAGAGGATAAAATTATTAAACAAAATTAAGAGTAACCCTTAGGTCCCAACAGACTGGGCCAAACAGACACAGACTCACACATGCTGAATGCCACACGGTCAAACTGAAACCTTAAGGAAGCAGCTAGATCCCAAAACAGGAGGAGAGAAGGCCAAATAAGACTTGTGAATTCCAG